ATGCGTAGAGTTGCAATTTGGTCAGAACATGATTTGCCTTTCCTGAATCCAGCTTTTTCTGGTCGGAGTTCTGCATCCAGTGCGCCTTTTATTCTCTCCAGGATGATGCGACTTAGGAGTTTACTTGGCGTCGCCAGTTCTTGCAGAGTCCTAAGTCGCCCTTCTTTGACAGTTTCACGAGGTAACCTTTCTTCCAGTCAGTAAGCACCTTTCCCTCCTTCCAGACCTTTTGCAATAATGAAGTCAGCACATCTGCTGTAGTCTCTGGGTCCGCTTAGTACTTTTATGATATTTATTTAAACTCTGATTATCTGTCCACTTCACCCTTAGTATTACGTAACTTTTAAGATTCGACCTAATTTATTTACTTTTTGAATTGTCTACATATACACATTTACTAACTTCGTTATTCTTATCGCCACCTGCATAAACCTTATTATCAATATTTTGCTATCATTATAATCATCGTTATTAACTACGTTCAAAACATTTACCACATTATTATTATCATTATTATTATTTGATCCACAAATCACCGTCATTGGTTAAAATTGCTATATGTAAATCTATGTAAATTAGAGTAAAGCCTGAAGAAGATCTAATTGAAAACAGCAATATTGTTCGCTTACATGTTTTATTCTAATCCAATGAATATGTCACCTACGTGTCTGTAATAGACTGTTGTTTAGTCAGCTGCACACTTGAGTTTAGTTTGTCCTAGACTGAAGTAAAAATATCAACTAATACAGGACCCAATGGACTCCCCATAGCCACTCCATTAAACTGGTGATACAATTTTTTGTCGAATAGATATCAGGCCATACCGGCAGCCTTGAAGTTATTCATATCCGTTCTGAGATTCGAGTCGAGATCAACAGCAGCCAGCATCTCGCGGTGGCCCAGCAACAAGCACGTGACCTAGGTGCAAGGCTTCCTCCCGGTCGCCTCCAAGATTTCAATAATAACAATAACTCGGAGTGCATAATGATGGCGAGCCACCTAGAATAGTGGAAACATTGAAGAATCAACGGAGAGAATTCAGTATGTACCAAACAAGGGGATGGACATATGCCACTAGTCACTTACTAACCCGTGTCGAATCAAATTTAATTAGGCTAGATTTGTCTTAAGATCATAATGGGCACACGTATGAATACATGTGTTTGACTGTGACATTTTTCTTAACTGTAACTTACACAGCTTTACAGCAATAACCTCAGTTTTCTTGGAGTATACTTCACAGCCCCCCGTAGCTACAAGGAATCACTTCACTGGCCTGTATAACGTCTTCTTTGCCTAACTATCATAATATTATTTATATCTGTATACGAATTCATTTAACAATAATTGCAGAAGGCACTGGTTATTAGACTTACGAAGTTTTCTTGTGCCAACTACCACAATTTAAGAATATTTTTAACCTATTCAAATGAAATATTCAAGACTTTAAACCCAGTCTCTTCGTTGTCCACATGGCCGTTCTATTACTTGATGGATTGAGTCATGAAAAATCATTAATCTTTTGCCATTTATTTCTCCTCAATTACTTGTAAAGTTTGAAAATATCACCCAAGGGGTTAAAGCCAGGACTATGGGAAAGCAAGTCACACTACACTCTTTAAATATGAAGAAGAAAGTCGCAGTCAACTTGCAGTTCTTCACATACCTTTGAATCGGAGAGAAGATGGCTCAATAAAACGGTCAATTCATGGAAAGTCTACTTGAACACGGCAACATTTAAACTTTCTCTGTTTCTATCCACTATAACATAATAGAGGCTTGCCAAAATGTTTATTTAAGGAATCCTCAGCCTATTTGTACAGCTGTTGTCAGACATGATGAAAATAAAACACTGATGAATAGTCTTATCGAGAATGAATATCCTTTAGAAATTTCAAACCGGTATAGAAGTCAGTTAGTTTCAACAACTACGGTCTATCCTGTTCCTGAGAAAGATGTCTTCATCAAGTTACTATATAATGGAAGAGTAAATAATAGGATTATTAGAGAGAGACTAAACTTGGTCATTCGTAGAAACTACACTGCAGTCCAGTTTATAAATGCTGAAAAAGCCAAACACACGCTGTTCTACAAGCCTCAAAAAAGTACCAGTGATTACATCATAAAGCATAATACCAAATAATTCACTTCTGTGTGTGTTCGGTCGTACATTTATAGCGGGGAGTAATCGTGCTTTGCATATGAGCGTAGAAAAACGCATACTCAAGTGTTTAGACAAACAAATAAACTGTGAAACACTGATAAACACAGACTGTCAACTTCGTTTACAGCTAAACACTTAGTCGGAATGAATACAGAGTATATTCTAAGAAACATTCAAAGGACAGTGAGTTTACTACGATTTGCTGAAGTAGTTGTCTTGAAGCGTTTCACGCCAAACTTATGCACACAGAAAGAGAGTGTAGTCGATCTCTCACCACCTTAGTAACCGTATTACTCTGATTACAACTCAGATCACTGAGCATGTTTTCAATTTGACGAAATTTAACCTTCTTGAGTTGCTGTGTAATTTTTTATTAGATATTCCTGTTTTCTGTCTTCACGCACCTCCCTCCCCATTTCCATAGTTTGGAAGCTTAGAAATTTATGGTGACTTGAACTAAAATTGTAATTAATATCAGTAAAAAGTTTGAGCATTGTGGATTAGATCAAATAAAGTACAGTTATATTTTAATAGTTTACACACAATGATAAGTTTTGTTATTGGTAATTTTGCTCGAAATATTACCAATAACAAAACTTATCATCGTGTGTAAACTATTAAAATATAATTATACCTTATTTAAAACTGTAATGGTTATATTTCGCATGTGTTCATCTCATAATAATGTTTTCTCTATTGCCTTTCAAACATTGAAGTATGATGTTATTGTGATTATTTATAACCAATTGTAATTTCAAGTAGTTTGCAGCAGCTGATGAGAGCCTGTGAAGTAGAATGATGATATCATTTTATACTGCAGACATGGTCTTTCTTTCTCTGTCGAAATTTAACAAGTGAATCAAATGTTTGAAATCCAAAGATTAACATCAGAACAGTTACTAAGACTTGTAGGGGAGGTAACTGAAATACACAGAGGAGATAGCTGCTCGTAAACGTAAGCTTCAAGCCCCCCACCTGTGTGTACAAAAACAATCTATTATTACTCTCAACTTATCCTGGTAATTCTTATCTCATTACATAACTAAACATTGTGCTAACTATTCTTATTATTCCTCAATCCTTTATCAATTTACTTATTTTGATTACCCTTTGTTTTTCTTATGACTTGACACACCTTTTATTATTATTATTTTATCCTTTAATTCCTAGAGGAACATAGGGATTCAGCTGCGCATCTCCATTGCCTTCGGTTTTCTCCCAACTTTTTCATCCCGCTCCAAGTCTGTCCACATACTTCCATCTCCTCTTCACATGACCTTTTCCAAGTCACCCCATTGTGGGACGACTAACTCGCCGCTTCCCTTCCGGATTCCACTCGAAAAATGGCTTGTCTAGTGATGTCACTTGATGGTTTCCTCAGCGTATGGTTAACCCATCTCCATTTCTTCCTGCCTATTTGTTGCGCAATCGGTTTCTCCTGGGTCGTTTCGCTCATTTCCAGAGATCCCGGTCGTTGATCTTTTCTGGCCGGCCATCTGATCTTGAGTGGTATTGAGCGAAGACAATTGTTAATGAAGGTCTGAAGTTTGTTTGAGATGCTCTTTATGACGCGCCAAGTCTCTGATCCAATTGTGTAGTAGCACTGACTTCACATTGGAGTTGAAAATCCGGATCTTATTTTTGATGCTGAGTGAGGCTGTCGACCTCCACACAGACTTGAGAGTAATGAAGGCTTGCTTTACTTTCCCTATTTTTGCTTTGATATCCTCGTCAGTTCCACCTGTAGTTGAAACGATGCTTCCCAGGTAGATAGGTAAAGGAGGTTGTTTCTTTCAGGTTCCTGCCATTTGTGCAGGCTGACTGTTGTCTGTTGGTATTGGCCAGGAATCTTCATCACCTCTGTTTTATCCATGTTCACCTGAAGTCCTATCTTCTCTGGATGCTTCTTCTACCTCCAACTTGTTGCTTTTCACTTGCATATCTTCCAGTTTGTGAAAATCAGACACCCATATCATCGCCGAAGTCCAGATCCTCCAAGTTTTTTGTGTGAGTCCATTTTATGCCTGTTTCCTCATTGACCGTTGTCTGTCGCATTATCCAATCTACTGCAATCAGGAAGATCATTGGTGATAGTAGGCAGCCAGCCTTGCCTCACTCCCGTCCTCACTTCGAAGGCTTCCGTAAGTTTCCGGTTGTGGATTACTTGGTATGCAGCATTGTCGTATAACTGTTGGATGAGATGTATAATTGTCGATGGCACCTCACAGTAGTAGCGAAGTAGTTGCCAGATGACCACCTCTCGATCGACGCTATCGAAGGCCTTTTCAAAGTCGATGAAGTTGAGTGAGGTGGAGAGGTGTCTTCCATTTCAAGCTTTGTTCAATGATGATCCGTAGAGTGGAGATTTGATCAATACATAACTTGTTTCTCCTGAATCCAGCTTGTTCCGGTCGGAGTTTTTCATCTAGTGCTTGTTTGATCCTCTCCAGTATGAGAAGCACTCCTTTTAGTGTACTTTAATTCCTTATCATTCCAAGTGAAATATTCGACTTCACAGTTTTAAATTTCAGTAGGGATATTGTCGTCTCTCTGTTCTCCAGAGTGGAATTGTTAATATCACAACTAAACTTTACTCTATTCCAGTCCAGCAATGGATGTTTTTATCTAGGCAAAGTTTTGGAAAGTGTCGACCAATGATTGAATTCAAAAGTCCCACATGACTGGCGCGGAATCTAACACCAAACCATCAATACAACTTTATTTTTCTGTGTCATGGCAATTTTTTTAAAAACTGTTTCAGCTGATATCTGATGTTAATTAAGAAATTGTCTTACTGATTTGCTTTTTGTTTTTCAAACATTTATTATTAAATAAGCAATCGATGAACAGTCATTCTGAGGAGATGAAATCGAATGATATTATTGATCTTACCAGTGGAACTAAGGCAATGAGAACATCACCACCAGCGACAACACACACCAGCTCAAATTCAATCACTTATAAGCTCAATTCAGATCAATCATTATTATATGACGAGAAAAGAAGCACAAAAGATTCTCATAGACCGATGAATCCTAACTGTACTAACGATCAGCGTCAAGTTACTCTGAGATCTCAAAATCAATCAATGAAAGAAGTTCAGAATTCAAGCAAAATGCATGCGTCAAAAACACCAGCTATAAACTCAATACAATTCAAATTGATACCAGTTGATAGGACAGGAATGCCGCTGAAAACTCCTGGCTTAATTAATAATACTCATAAGTTATATATATCAAGTCCATTTCCTATTGGTAATAATATAAGTAGTATATATTTAATGCCTAAAAATATGACATCATTTATAAATCCCACAAATAATGTGTCTTCTATACAACAGACATTAAATTTACTACATCAGAATAGAAGAGATGATAGTGACGGCGACGCTTATGTTGATGTTGATAATAAAGGTCACGTCAGTGGCGGAATACACGATCACCATCACTATAAAGAAGACAATGACACCGTGATGAAGGATGAAATCAATAATGTACCTCATGCAAAGGGAGAAAAGGAAAGATGTTCGACTTGCAACTTAAGTTTTAAACATCCAATAGATTTTTTTAAACATATTCAAATGGTAAGTGAAAGTTATGTGGAAAAAATAGACATTTTTAACGTTAATTATAATGCGGATTCCAGGCAATCTAGGTGTGGTTCACTTCCAAGTGGTTTTTTATTTACTAACATTTCTGTAAGAATTATCATAACAATTTCTAAGAGATACCTATTACAGTTGTGAGGGATCATCTGCTTGCTTGATCCGTCCACTCTAGACTTGGTGTTAACACATCAGAAGGAGGATGTCGGTGACATTAGGTACCTGGCGCCTCTAGGCACTAGTGACCATATAGTTATCATTTTTATGTTAGGGATTCAGGCTGTCATACATAAGTCGACAGCTGCTCGCCTAAACGTTTGGAAGGCTGCACAGAACTGCCAAATGTTAGGGGACAAAAAGAAATGGGAATTATTGTAAGCTGTGACTTAAAAACAACGCCGCAACTAAGGCTTTTCGAATGCTATGGCCACTTCGAATGGCTTTTAAGCAATTAGACGAGGATATGTTCCAAGTACTGTATGCAACATAAGTCAGACGTCATCTAGAATAGTGTATACAAGCGGTGAGTCCATGCTTCAGAGTGGTGGCACATATCCTGGAAGCAGTACAGAGGGTAGGAACAAAATTAGTTAGTCGTATCTCACACCTTTCTTATGAAATGAAAATGTAGCATTTAAATCTCTTCCCATTATCATACCAAAGGAGGAGAGGTCACTTAATTTTGCCTTACCGTATATTCAAGGGTGATTTATGGATTGACGTTTCAAACCTTTTCTCTCCCTCCAGGATACATTAATGATGTCACCTAAAGAAGGTGCTCAAACCGAGGTCGAATAAAATACGTCTGGAGTTTAGATTCTCTCACAGAGTGATCAACCACTGGACTCTTTACCTGATACAGTAGTAACAGCTCCATCGGTGAACGCTTTCAAAGTGAATGTAGATCTCTGCAGAGACATATATGGTGAGGATTAACATAGGCAACAGGGGTCTTCTATCTATATAATTTGAATCTAGAAGACTGACGCCCGTTAATCCTCATTCAAGCAATAACATATCACCCCCTTATGTTTTAGTTAACGTGATTACCATTAACTTCCGAATATTGGGTAAAAACTAAAATAAGAGATTTGAAGGCAGAATGAATCACGAACTGACTTCAGTTAAAGAAGCAGTGGAAAGTGAGAAGTTCCGGAGAGCTATTTCCTTCTCCCAGTTTCCGACTGATCAGCAGTAATCGTCAGGGTTCGAACCCAGGACCTTCAGATTAAAAAACGAGTTCGTTAACCATTCAGCCGATCAATTCTAACTCTTGTCATCTCACGATAAATATATCAATCATCAGCCACTGATTTTATAGGCAAGTATCCTTCCTCACGGCTAAATTTGGAGGACTTCACTAGTCACACTTCCTCATTAGAACTTTTGGCACCATCACGGTGTAGTCAGTGAACATTAGTGAGCACTAGATTATCCTCAAGTTTCGGTTTGTATGTATTCAATTCATTTCAAGAATAATCATGAGATGACATGAGTAAGAGGACCACTGAAAACCAAGAATAAACAAAAAATTGAGCAATGAATATCTTTCTTGATAATTACAATTATATATATATATTCTTACATACATAGAATACTCTAGAATAGTCGTCATTTACAATATCGGTGTATTTTAAATACTGTCGATTTGTTAATTAAGATCAAAATGGAATTACAGTTCTCTAGAGATGCATAAATTATTATTATTATTGTTCCCTTGGGTTCCTAGTGGAACAATGGGGCTTCAACTGCATGTCTCCACTTGCTTCTGTCTTCCTTCTGCTGTACTTTTCACCTGCATCCATCTTAGTCCATACTGTTTCAAATCCTATTCAAACGATCTCCTCCATGTCACCCTTGCACCGACGTCCCACTCGCCGCTGCCCTTTCGGCCTGGTTCCGTTCGAGCGATGGCCTGACGTGCGCGCGATGTAACCCAGCGGCCTCCTCAGCGAGTGTTCAATCCATCCATCTCCACTTTCTCCTGCATATTTGTTGGTTGGCGATTGGTTCTTGTTTTGTTTGTTTGTTCCCATAGTTTCTTGTTGGTGATTCTTTCCGGCCTGGTCATCTGATCTTCGGTATAGAGCCAGCGAAGATAGTTGTTGACAAAGGTCTACAACAGACTGTTGGAAATATTCTTTGTGACCCGCCCGCCAAGTTTCTGATCCGTATAGAAGAGCTGACTGACTTGACGTTTGTATTGAAAATCCGCCTGAATTTTGTTGTTGATTCTGGCTGAGTGACGAAGATTTCCAGATTGATTTCAGGTTGATGAATGTGTTTCTCGCCTTCCCGATTCTCACTCGATTTGACATCATGTTCCGTTCTGACTGCCTGTAGTTGAGGCAATGCTCCCTAGATAATGCATAAATTATAGTAAGCATGAAATTGTGATAGCAAATAGAATATCAAGTAAAATTAGGGAAATTTCCACTATAAATTAAGGATCATTAGAACCTTGGTGACCAGGGGATAAGGACAGTGTTTGTATCAGCCAACTTCTTTTGGATAGATCATAAGTTAGGTTTCTTAATATAGATCCCAACAGTCAGTCTTAGCAATATGAAGTAGACGACGAACTCTTGAGTGTGGTGAAGTTCAGATTAGTTGGTATGCCGTGGATGATTTTGAAAGCCGCCTTGCAAACATTAATCTTGTGTTCTGTATCCACATGATAAGATAAAATAGAGCTGTGAATGGATTTTGTTTGTCATTTACTTTACCACACAGGTTGGTTTTCAGAAATCCGATGATGAAGACGCCTAAATGTACGGCACAAGCCGCCAACCGGCTCATTCCACAGAAGCAGTCAAATCGGTAGATACACATAGAAGTGGCAAAATTAGGCAGTTTATCATGTTCTCCCGAACATCACTATTGCTGAGGCCATTGTGATTCACAACAAGAAACCTAATTTATGTATCCAAAAGGAGTTGGTTGGTTCAGACACTGTCCTTACCTCGGCCATTAATCAAGGTTTTAGTGATCCTCATTTTGTTGTGGAAAATTCCATAATTTTATTTGATATTTTATTTACTATTAGATCTTTATGATTATTATAACTTTTGCTGAACTTTAATTTCGCTGATCCTACTTGAAAAATTGATTGTGATTAAAAGCACCAATATTGGTAATGATGACTACTCTAGAATATTCTACGGATATAAACATATATATATATATATATATATATATATATAATTGTAGAGGCAGAAGAAAAAAGTATCGAAAAGGATACTCTTTGCTCAGTTTTTTTCTAGATGTCTGAATGAATATTTTCGCTATATTAAAAACTAGGAAGTTGTACTGAACAGCTGTTTCACACTTATTTGGGACTCTTCATCAGGTCTTTTAGATCATAGGTGTCCGCATTGCTGAATAGTCGCAAAATAAGACAAAACAACTGTCCAGTGCTCTCTGCTCGTTTTCACTGATCTCTGTCACTGATGCTGGCTGGCTCATGATGGATTTCTAGAACAGTTGAAATTAATTCGAAATCCTCATAAATTTTATAATCTGAGTGTGTATGCAGTTATTTGATCCGCATAGCTTGAAAGACTGTAACAGATGTCCTCTGTATCAGCTATTTTTATCCCTCTGTCTGCCTACGTCAGTCATAAGAGTGACTACAGAGTAATTTAGATACCTCAAGTATGAATTATCTTGCGACCAGCAAGTTTTGTTCCAACTCATTCTAATTACTCGTAGTTAATAAGGGCTGTCTCGACAAGTATACACCTCATCCAACAGTTGTACGACAACGCTGCATGCCAAGTAATCCACAACGGAAAAATAACGGAATCCTCCAAAGTAAAGAAAGGAGTAAGACAAGGCTGTCTACTACCGCCAATGATTTTCCTAATTGCAGTAGGCTGGACAGCGGGCAGCGAGGAAACATGCATAAAATGGATCCACATAAAAAACTTGGAGGATCTTGACTTCGCCGATGATATGGGTGTCTGATTTCCCACAAACAGGAAGATATGCAAGTGAACAGCAACAAGTTGGCGATAGAAGAAGCATCAAAGATAGGTCTCCCTACGGGTGAACATAGAGTAGACAGAGGTAGGTGATGACGATTCCTGGCCAACAACAACAGCAGCAACAACACACAGCGATCAGCTAGCGTAAATGGGAGGAATCTGAAAGAAACAACCTCCTTCACCTACCTACCTGGGAAGCATCGTTTCAACTACAGGTGGACGGAACTCGTAAGGACATTAAAGTGAGGATCAAGAAAGCAAGACAAGCTTTCATTACTCTCAAGTCTGTGCGTAGATCAACAGCACTCAGCATGGAAAATAAGATCTGGATTCTCAACTCCAATATGAAGTCAGTGCTACTCACTGCACGGATCAGGGACTTGGTGCGTCATAAAGAGCACTTCAAACAAACTACAGAGCTTCATCAACAGCTAGCTGTCTTTGCTCAATACTATTGAACATCAGATCGCCTGTCAAAAAAGATCAGCAACAGGGATCTCTGGCATTGAGTGAACCAACCAGGAACCGACTGTGCAACAAATAAGTAGGAAGAAATGGAGATGGATTGGCCATACTCTGAGAGAACCATCAAGCGACGTCACTAGACAAGCCCTCGAGTGGAACCCGAAAGAGGAGCGGTGAGTTGGTCGTCCAACAGCGAATTGAAGGAGGTCATGTGAAGAGGATATGAAAGCCTGTGAGCAGACTTGAAGCCAGATGAAAACTTTAGCAGAGAACCGAAGTTAATGGAGACGCGCGGCTGAATCTTTATGTTCCTCTAGAAATAAAGGAAATAAAAATAATAAGAGCTGTCGAATTCACAAACAGATATTAATTATTTGTACTTTTGGTTTTCTATTAATATATGTAGATGGATCTCTTGACATCATCATGATCGATCAAGCTGATAAGCCAGTTGTTTTAGACTTAGTATTCCAGAGGACAACCCTTTGAATTTTGAAGCTATGATTACTGGATTCAAGTAGTACCATCATTCATTGAGGATTCAGGTATATTCGGCTGATGAATAGCTACTGGTAGGATGAAACACAAGTCCTGGATTCCATCCACTGTCATTCAAAAGCAAACAGGCAGTTCATTGCAGACTTGTTCATAAAAGAAAAGCGACAGTGAATAGTGATATATATATATATACATATATATATATATATATATATATATATACCAGTTAACAAGTCTTGTATGGTACGCCACTTTTTCCTAAATTGTTGTCATAGTAGGCTGTATACATTTTAACATCAGCCAGTCGTAAACAAACACAATGAAGCAATTTTGATGAATAGTCACTATCCGTGGAGTTGAGAATACATATTTCGTCTTATCTGAGACTCATCAGCTGAATGTGCGTATGGGTTCCCAATTGAGTAGTGATAGTGTTCCTACTGAGACTCCACCTCAGTATCCTTTGTATCAAACGTTAAAGTCTTATCTACCAGACTACTTGCACCATGAGAACTACCTTATATACAATGTTGATTGTATTATTTCCATATTGATTGACGTAACCAAAATATTCAGCTAATGACTGCAAGTCATCATCCACGGAAATAACATCAGTGTTAGTCCTCAGACATCGTTGAAGCATCCATACTAACAGTCAGTCAACATGTCAACAGAAGTTGAACATTTTGGTAAGAAAAAAACGGAATACTAATTTATTCTCTTTAAAAGAAGATACATTTGAGTCAAGGAAAAGCTGACAACATCATTCTTTACTGTTAACGGATAGATGTTGAAATTAAAAGTAAACTTCTAGCTGGATAAGGTTCACTTCAGGGAATGTGATACGAATTTCCTATTGATTGACTGTATTAGACCATGATGCCCAGTCTCTATTGTTATACCATCTTATAGTGCGAACGCTCTGCGTATGCTTGATGGTGACAATCGTATCATTTGTTTGATGGAGACTAGTGGAATTCAAGAGATTCTAAAAATCCACGTAGACAACAACATGTGATAGGCAATACAAAAATGGAATGGCTTTCATGGCTCTATGGCCTAGTTAGATAACACTTTGATGTCTCAGCGAGAACATCATCACTCACTGGGGATACAAACATATCCAGCCGACGAGTCCTGTATAGCGCGAAACAAGTATCTTGGACTTCGTTGCTGGCCGTCATCGAAAATGTCACTAAAACACATTGAGTGATATATTTATAGTTTAAATTGTTATTCTAATGAGAAGAATGCGTTAAAAGTATACAGGACAGCCTTCTAGAATGAGGGTGCTGAAGGTGACTGGCAATGAATTTCTACGAAACAGATTAATATGAGGCTTTCTATTATTGTCTATCAAAGGCTTTAAAGAGCTGAATTCTTTACCAGTCTCTACTGCATGGTTAGCTACTGTGCTACACAGAAAACTCCTTCCTCATCTCACAATCGAATACCTTTCTGTGACTGTACTGGTAGATTTATATAACACAGTTTAGACATTTTGAGATAAAATATGAGGCATAATATAATTCATATTCATTCAAACATCTATAAAACACAAAACAATTGAGCAAAGAATATCCTTTTCGATAATTTCCTGCTCTTCTGGCTCTACAATTATATACGTATATGTTTATATACATAGAATATTCCAGATTAGTGGGCAATAACAATATTAGTATTCAAGTGATGCTTTGTAGGGATTTGTTTGGTTTACAGGATTTCATCATGAGCCGGCATTAGTTAGAGAACCATCAGAAAACCTGGGAGTACTGGACAGCCAGATGTTTCGTCAGCCTATTTTGAGACTCCTCATCAGCACGCATCCACCGGGATTCAAACCCAGGACCTCCTGGTTATAAGGTGAGCTCATATAACATTAAGCCACTGGGACCCAATTCAATGGCCAGCCCATAAATTCTAAATTCTTCCAATTCACGACATAGCGCGACCCTTAGCCAATGTCTTTGGTGAGTATTTGTCCTCACACCCTACCTGCTCCACCTTACTGGCCACGACTTCTCACTAGGACCCCAGGTAACTATCTACCTAAATAGAGCAAGTGCGACTTGCCCTTTCATGGGCCATTGGATCGGGTCCCATTGGCTTAATGGTATACGATCTCCACTTGTAACCAGAAGGTCCTGGGTTCGAATCCCAGTGGGCGCGTACTACTGAAGAGTCCCAAACTAGAACGAAACAGCTGTCCAGTACTCCCAGGTTTTCCAATGATTCTCTAACTAATGCCAGCTCATGATGAAATCTTGTAAACAATATTAGTGTTTCTTTTCAATAATATCGATTTGTAAAGTAAGCTTCATGCACTTGAAATGCAAACGCCCAAGGTACCAACAGTTCCTAAAAAGGCCTTATTCTTACAAATTCAGTTCCTCACGTATAACATCAGCGAGATACTAACACAGAGTTTTAGAAATGCGGTAAAAAAAGAATTCCCTGCTGCCGAATTACGCTGTGTCTTTAAAACCACTCCTCTTTTGCCTTTGGGAGTAAAAGAAAAACTGCCTAATTTCGCCTCTTCTATGAATATCTACCAATTTAACTTCTCCGGCGGAGTCAGTTACCTGCTTGAGACGTACAATTAGGCGTGTTTGTCTTCGAATTTCCAAACATCACCCTGCATAGTGGTTAAGCAAAGTACAAATAAAATCTATTCGCAGTGCTATTCTATCTCATCTTGTGGATACAGAACACAAGTTTAATGTTAACGAGGAAGCTTTCAAGGTCATTCACCGCATACCAACGAATCTTACTTTAGCCTTAGTAAATATTGCTGAGGTTGGCTGGTGGAATCCATATTAACAAGCCTAATTTATGTGTCCAAAAGAAACCAGTTCACACATTGTCCTTACCTTAGCCACCTAGATTTGAACGATCCTCAATTTTTGTCGAAATTTCCCTAATTTTAGTGGATATGCTATTTACTATTATTCTTATTATAATTAAAAAATTCTTTGCTCAATTATTTTGTATTTTATGATTCATATTGTATAATACCTAACTCTGTGTTTCCCTTTTAAAAACAAAACCACCTCACCCCCCAGGTTCATGTTGGATTACAATTCAGGAATAGAGTAAATTTGTCAAAATACCCAGAGAAAACAATAAGGACATCACCAATTAAAAGACATTTCCCCACTGAACATTTGAAACCCTCTAAAAGTAAACCTCATCATGCTGACAATGATAGTGATAATAATAATAATAATAATAATAATGAAGGTGTTGAAAGTGACATCAATAATTATGATAATAATAACATCAGCAATGAAGGCAATGATAAAGTCAACGATGACGATAACTGTTGTGGTGTTGGTGGCGGTGGCGGTGACGACGACGTCGGTGATGATCACGGCAATGAAGATAATGATGATGATGATGAGGAGGAGGATGACGGTGACGAGGATATGAAGGAAGAAGACAATGATGAGTATATCCCAGTGAAATCAACATTATGTAATACTAGACAAAGACCATATGAATTTAGACGAATGAAGAAATCGGAATCATTGACTGGTTGATTGGTTGATTGATCGACTGGACGAAAGTCATCAGTATATATATTCCTAATATATACATAATTAGACATTCACACTTTGTTTATATTGTTAGTATAATCAATAATAATAATATATATTTTTGAGAAGTTTGATTTTTGGAAGTTACTATTTGAATTCTAGAGAATACCTCATTTGTCTTCATTCGACTGGAATTGTCGTTTAGTCAGAAAAGAAGACTGAGAAAAAATGAAAATTTACAAAATGAATCCGGCGCTTTTCTTTAATCTCGCCTTAATTCCACTATGCAGTATATTCGGGTACTTGTTACTACTAACATTATTTCAGTAGTTGAGGCAATATCCAAATAAATCTTCAATATTGTCGATTAATCAATTATTTAAAAACAAACGAACATCTTTTATAATTTTAATTTTTTTAATTTAAATGAAGCCATTGATAGGATGAATAAAAGTGATTTGCAAAGATTTTCCACAACATTCCATATCATTTTAATAGAATTAATGCAAGTATTCAAAAAAGACAAAGTTTATAAGTCTTCCTAAAGAATGGTAAAGATAATGCATGCGTGTAAAACATGAACAATATCGTAGTAGATAATTTCATATTAATTTGTTTGTTAGATATAACACACTGTGATGTTTTGAACAAAAATTATTTTTGCTTATTAGTTCAATTAACCGTGCATAGTTTTCTAGCTCGCCAGTGTTCTAACCAGTTCCAAGCCCGGGGAAATTAGGAGGGTTGGACAAGAGGTGAGTAAAACTACCCCTGAAAATCAGTCCAGTCGCTACTGCAATTCAAAGCACAAGAAAAAAATATAAAAATAAACTTATTCTTCTCTGGAATTGAAGAGATGAAATGACGTGACCTGGTAATAGCTTTCGGGTAACCAGTCAACTGATGTGTCTTCTGTCGATGAAAGCAAACTCAGTGTTGGGGATATGGAATATTCGCACAGTGTACGAAGCTGACAAAGCTGCTGTGTTTGCCAAAGAGATGAGAAGATATTGTATAGAAGTGTTAGAAATCTGTGACAGCTGGTGGAATGAATGTGGATTAATGAAATTACCAACTGGAGAGTCAATAATCTACTCCAATCACCCAGGTGACAGCCACGAGCACACTGAGGCAGTGAGTGGCTTTTATGATGTCACAAGTGAAAGCCAAAACGGTAATGCAGTGGGAACCAATGTCATCCAGGATCATGACAGCGAGATGCAACCCACAAACATGGAAGGAAGGTAACAATTATCCACACAGTGCCAAAAACAATGCGAAACAAGAGAAGAAGGAAGATTTTTACAGACAACTACAAACAGTAATGGAAAATATCACAAATGGTGACATCAAAATCCTCATGGGAGATATGAATGCCAGATGAACTGGGAGCGGATAATACAGGAAGAGAACTCATCATAGTTTGAGAGGCCCTGGCTCGGAGAAATGACTGAGAACGGAGAATTGTTCACAGACTTCTGCTCTTTCAGTGATCTGGTGATCGATGGCAGCGTGTACAAACACAGGAAAATACACAAAGCAACATTAATTTCGCCTGACGGACATACCACAAACCAGATAGACTTTATTTCAAAACTGCTCAAGGAGGTGGAGACGCAGACTGCTAGATACAAAGTCGAGAAGGTGAACAGATGTGGGCTCACACCATCATCTAGTTCACGGAACCTTCAAGGGGAAGCTAAAATCCCTGAGAAAAACCAGATACAGACAACTGCAATTCAACTTCAACATTCGGAAACTGAAGGATAAGACTACAAGGGATACCTTCACTGCAGCTATCAGCACAAATTCGGATAGATTACACCACATCACTGATAAATCCTGCTTGGAAGAACATTGCAAATCTCTGAAGGTGATATTCACGGAAACGTGTACAACCATTCTAGGAAGAAAGAAGAGATAAGATAGAGAATGACCCTCAATAGATACCTAGAAACTAATAGAAGAGAGGAGAGTAGGATAGTGGGAGAGAATGATGATGACTCAATGCACACATGGACAACACAAGAGGCTGAGTTCATTGTACACTGCACCGAATAAAGAAATGAAGCAGAGTGCTAGGAAAGGCAGAAGACAATCCTACGACAAAATGGCCGTAGAACAGGCAAGCCGCAGGTAAAAAAAACCTCAGAACATTAAATCAGATAACCAGGTCTCTATCCGAGAAGAGATCAAAGCAGGTTAAACCTATAAAAGATGGTCAAGGGAACCTAATTACCAAGGAGCGAAAACGAATAAAACAATGGGCTGATCGCTTCAAAGAACGCTTGCACTAACTATCACCTGCAAATCATCCAGAAATACACCACCAATAACGGCACGCACAGAGCTGTCTGCCGATGGACACCAATCCTCCAACGAAAATAGACATCTTGAATGCTTTCAAGCTACTGAAGGCCAGTTGGAAATGCATCAGGACCAGACTGAATTTACCCCTAAAGCACGGGAAACGAACACAGAGACTCCTGCAGAAGTACTCACACCATTACTGGATTAGGTTTGAAAGGAAGGATAGGTGCCTACCGTTTGGAAGAAAGACTGGCTACCTTGTCAAGCTACCGAAGAAAGACGATATACGATTCTGCAAGAACTGCCGTGGATTATTGCTCTTGTCCACATCAAGTACAGTATTAAATCAAATCATCCTGGAGAGAATAAAAGATTCAATGGATGCAGAATTCCACCAGCTCACCACAACAAGCTGGATTCAGGAAAGGCAAATCAGGTACTGATCGAATTGAAAATCCACGCCTCGTCATCACAGTCAAACCTCTCTCTACGTCAACAGCTTCATCGACCAATTTTAGAAGGCCTTCGACAGCTCAGCGTTGATCAAGAAGTAATCTGAAAACTACTTCAACACTACGGCGTGCAGTGCCCTAAGTCTTTATCAACCTCATTCAGCAGCTGGCTATATGACAATGCCTGCCACGTGTCAGGCGATCCAAAACAGAAAAATAATTCACTGAGGCTTTTGAAGTGAATACACGAGTAAGACAAGCTGGCTGCCCGTCTATTACCACCGATGATGTGGTAACTGTGGTGGACTGCATTATGCGCCAGACTGTGCTTTGGGAGCGAGGAGACAGGAATAGGCAGGACCACAATTAGGAAAATCCTGCAAGATTTGAATTTCGCCTGTGGATGATTTATATCTCATGTTGCACAAACTCGAAGACTCACAGGTGAAAACCAACAAACTTGCCGAAGGCTCCGGCAGCAAAGAAGCGACTTCAGGTGAACATAGCGAAGACGAGGGGGATGAAAATAACCAACCAACGAACAGCAACAACAACAAAAACCAGTACCAATCACCATAAGTGAGAGAAATTTAACAGAGGTTTCTTCCTTCACTTATCTGGCTAGAAAGCATCATTTCAACCACAGGCAGTCGGACAGGACAGATGCAGATGTCAAAGCGAGCCAGAATCGGAAACGCAAGGCAGAACACCTTCATCAACCTGAGACCAGTTTGAAGATCTCCTGCTTCTCGCGGCTAGCGTGAAGAACATTATTCGAATTTTCAGCACACCAATGTTAACTCAGTCAATCATTTCTTCTATATACGTCAGAAACTTGGCTCTCGCGTCATAGAAAATCATTTCGCAAAAGACCATTGCAGACTTTTATCAACAGCTGTCACTTTTGCTATCTCTATACTGAGGATCGAATGGTCGTCTGTTCGGCCAGCCAAAAAGAATTAGCAACAAGAAACTCTGCCTGGGAATAAGCCAACAGGCGAGAAGTGATTGCTCAACAAATATGTAGGAGAAACTGGAGATAGATGGCACACGCGTCGCTGAAGAGACCATCGAATGACGACATCGCGCGCCAGCCAGGCCATCGCTGGAGTACAATCCCAATGGGAAGAGATTGCTTTGAAGTCACTCAACACTCGGAACTGAATTGAACCGAACTTACTGTAGATAATGTCAGATTTAAACTACTGAAGCAGCTTTTCAGTGTCTAGATAGGCTTCGATTTCGGTTAGCAAGCGATACAGTTTAACGATACTAGTGATTTACATCTACGCTTATTAATCAATCAGTAGTATGTAGTATCTCGCTATTTCAAAATTACCTTTATCATTAAGTTTTTTAATTGACTCCTGTTCAACTAAATAATGACAAATATGTATGCAGTACATTGTATGTCAGGAGAAGTCGTCCACTTCATTGCGTCCTGAGGCTGGTGTCTCTTAAGGCGCTGTCCCTTCTCCTTTTCTGTTTTCTTTCTTCTTGCATGACGTGCCTCACCCAAGATGAAATAAAGTTTATTAAGTACGCCGACGATCTAACTATTTCAGTGTCTGTTAACTCCCAACTAGACTGTAGTGCTAAGATGAACAGCTTTCTATCTGGAGTTAGCAAATGGTGTTCGTCTAATGGTCTGTCTTAAACTACATCCTTCTATATATCAGACTGTTAATTTCAGTTTCCGATGTAAAAGAAAGTTAAATGATGAAGCTGTTAATTACTATGGCCGTTGCAAAATTGATGATACTGATATAGAAATCAAGTCTGAAGTTAAGTATCTTGGATTAATTCTTTCTTCTGATCTATCCTGGTCTTCCCATGTCTTAGTGATTTCTAAAAGAATATTTCATCTGACTTTTTACATTAAGAAGTTAAGGCACTCAGGCATAACTCAACTCGTCCTCTTACAGCTTGTCAACTCGTGTATTTTACCTATTTTTCTTTACGGTTCACCCTTATTCTTTCCTGGGTTGCTTAAAAAAGACTTTGTCATGCTTCGTAGAACTTTGGAGACTGTCATTCAGTAGGGATAGTGGTATCCCATTGAGCCATAACGTTGACATTGTCATTGATAGGTACCTGATGTCATGCAACAAATTTGCTAAAGGAATTTTGTCAAACTGAGAGCATCCACTTTACCTGCAGCTCCAACCTTGTGTCTTCTCAGGTAAAACAAGAAGTCTTTTCAAAAGACTTTACGCACGTACGTCTAAGTATAAAAATTCCACTATACCATATTTCACGGCACGTGGTTTATGTGATGAAAACAGTGTTAGGCATGAACAAACTAACTAACC